GACTCAGGATCGCCGGCAAGAGGGACGATCCTAGACGGCTTATCATAGTGAATTGCACCAAAGAACATCTGAGAATGTCTGGCAGGCCGTCTACAGGGCTGCACCTTATCTTGATGGAGTCTCTCACCCTGTGGTGTTGTCAAAAGAAGCTTCTGAAATAGAAGGGGCTAGACTTACAGCAGAGTAAAATGACCACTTGGTATAGTCACCGTCTGTACGGTCGATAGAGACCTCATCAGAAAACCACCAGCTATACCAAAAAGACTCATCTTCATGACGATATTTTTCACAGAAAGCTTTTCTCAATTGAGCACTTTCTTCGCTGAGAAACGGGCGTCGAAGTGCAAGCTTGTGTTGTATCTTCTGATTGATAAGCCAGCGACGAATTGTGCTTCTTTTGCAGTTCAAACAGGTGCAATCAATTATTTCTTGGTATGAGATAAAAGCGTTTCTTCCAATGAGTATTTTGATATGATTTTTATCTATATCTGATAGTCGTGATGGCCTTCCAGAGCGAGGTAAATCTTTTGCTGATTGTTGGTGACGGTACCGTCGAATGACTCCATAGATCGCGTGCCGACTTAGCCCCTCACTGTCTGCGATATCCTGCACGCGAACACCTGATTCGTACATCGTCACAAACCTCGTTCTTTTGCAAGGAGAATGATGTGTTTTTTGCCGTATTCGAGGCATCTTTTCCTATAGAAATAACGCGATGAAGTTGTGGTGTTGATGTTGATGTTTAATTGAAAGCGGGGTCCGGACCTCGGATGTGTCGGAACTTTTGCACGGGACTGTAAACCGCCGCTACCTCACGATGTCAACAGACATCTCAAACCAGGCATCAAATTTTAAGCAGATGCCCCTTCTGACCGCCAAGCTAATTTTGCTTGATTCAAGTCTGTTGCTCTAGTTGACGATCGTAAGGCTACTGGAGGTTGACCGCTTAGAAACGGTCATCGGTCAACCTAGCCAGCATAATGTTTTCACGACAAGGAAGATTTTAACGAGGAGAGCCGAAGTGCATCGCTTGTCGGAACTTTTCAAATGGTCCTATGATCGCCCAACTGGGTCTTTGTCTGCGCAATATTTGATCCATTGAAGAATTCCATTCCAAATCGCATTATAGTCACCTGTATTGGCAAAGAGTGCTTGTCTTCAAAGCAGCTTGCCTCATCAGCGGGCATCTCTCAACTGACCCCCACTATTCACCTTGACTATTATATGCCTCCGCCCCCGAAGTTCTCGGCCCCCAACCCCCGGTGATTTGGATGAACTTCTGTCGTTATGGACAGGGTTCCCTTCTCCAACAGACACTTGATTCGTGGCCTTGTCAACTTGTCAGACGGACAAGACCGCTGAATGGCTGCCACGGTAGCAACGCCAATGCACTTGAGCGCACCAAATGCTCCCAAACAATGCACTCTCCGTTCACAGTCGGCCACTAAGAACTTGAAAAATCCGTCACCGACCAATCGTGCGATGAGAGACACTGCATTTGTCTTGAGGGATGGTATAGAAATAGAGCATTGAGGGGGCTTCGCTGTTGAGCTACCATGGCGGTGTTCCCAGCGAATCTCCATGAGCTGCATCGCAGCCTCAGCTGCGACTCGAGCGATGGTAATTGGTGAAGATGACGAGCCACGATGTAATACCGCCCATATGGGTGCTCTCTCACAGCTCTGTCACCGATCGATCGTCTTGAAGCTCTTGGCCTATGGTGTTCTGTTGGGTTTCAGGTCAGGTTGTCCCCGCGAGAGAAAATGAGCCGCGTGTCGAGCCCATTATTGCTTATCCGTAGGATATTGCTCATCACCGTGCAACTTCTCACCGTTTTCATTTCACTTGCTTTCATAGTCTCCACGCTGGGCCCACGATTATTATTGCCTTAAGAGGAGCTATATTTCTTGCAATCTCACCAGTGCTGCGGTTTTGGGTTGACCGCCCAACCAGAACGAACCGTGCAGTCGGTTTCAGTGGGCTTTTCGCTCAGCCCTACAGATCGTCTGGCACGAGTGAAGCATTTACTGCTCACTCGTGGCGTAGCATCTTCAGACCCCGGTTATTGACAAGCCTCTAAGGCCTCCATTGCTGACATTAAGATATTCTCTATTTTGTCTGACGCATTCCTCCTTTTCTCCTTCGCATCACTGTTTTTGGTTATTTTGTTGCGAAACGGCTGAATATTCGACACCAACCTCGCGGCGATCTTGTCTCGAACCGATCTGTGACCGTTGTAAGCCCACGATTATCAATCAGATTATATCCGTTGATTTGCGACAACCACCTGAAGAAGCTGCATTTATCCGCGTTACATTTTGCTCATGATCGGCGCCCCTCACGGCTGACGAAACCACCCTCGATTCGCTGTCGCATTTCCCCTCAGTTCCATGATCGCACAAGATGAGGAACTGGGGGTGTAGCTTTTGCCTCATCTCGCTCGTTGGTGCATTCTGGGCTTTGGGTGTTGAGGCGGCCGACTACAGAAGACATGATGGCGTTCATCGTATTGAGAAGGAGGCGCAAATCACACAGGCAGCGGGCCTTGGTCGACGAGCCGAAGCACAATGTGCGACGAGTATGAAGTTATGTCCTTCGAGTCTGGATGGAGGATGTTGCCCCGAAAACTATGATTGCGCCAAAGAGAGCTGTCAAGCGACAACCAAGGGACCCTCAACGTGTGGAACAAAAATCGGCTGGCATGTTTGCGCCCCGGTCTATGGAGGTTCGTATTCTGGAAATGTAAGGTGTTGGAGAACAAGGCTTACATATAACAGGAGGCTGTTGTCCTGACGGTTACCTTTGCGAAACAGCCGACAATTGTGTACCACCTTCTGGATCAGCATATACATACGATTGTCCAGCTAGCCAGTACCTATGTCCGTCATCCCTGAGCTACGGCTGTTGTCCTAATGGCATGGCATGTGGCGTGAATCAATGTTATTCATCCGATCCTGTGACTATCACAAGTACTATGGTCATTACAACAACAATAAAGGGGGAGCGAACGACTTATAAGACGACAGCCGTGAATGTCGAAACTCCAACAGCTCCTACGGCCCTTCCGACAGTTAATGCTGGTGAGGATAACGACCAAGCAGTTCTGAAATATTTCCCTTCATCGATCCCCAAAGTTAGCCCGACAAGCTCATCTGACGATGACAACGACAGCAAGGAAGGCCTTTCAACTGGTGCATTGGCTGGTATCATTGCTGGCTCTGTGGCTTTCTTGATTATCGTATTAGTCGCGGCCTTTATCATTATTCGGCATTTAAACAAAGTTGTTGCTGCTGTCGGCACACCAAAAGCATCTGACAGATCCAACGGCTCAAATAGCCAACCTCGACAGACCCGAGAGTTCAAGACAACGGACTCCGCAATCGATGAACTAAGCATTGATCCATTGATACACCCATCAATGATACCTCCACGACCGCGAAACCCCGGCCCTGACTCTGCAGCAACTTCTCCATTCGGCCTCGCCAGCGCAGATCACAGTTCTAATGAGCCTACGCCAGGAGGTAACGGTTACCACGCAGTACCAGGAAGTGGCAACACTAGCAGACATGCTAGTTTTGACGCAATGGGAAACCGGGATGATTACTTCAGCGCTGTAGCGGCAGGCGAACAACATCGAATGAGCCATGTCTCTAGGCTTACTGGGTCAACGAGAAATCGGTCTAGTACTGATTCGCATGGGACGTATACCCATGTTCGAAACTACAGCAATGCTTCTGAAGGCTCCGATGGTTCACCTGGAGTAATGGCAGGTGCTCATCCTACGGCAGAGCTAGAAGCAACACCGTATGTACCAGAACTACCCAGCTCCCCATCATCTGTGGTGTTCCCAAGAGATGAAAGGCGAAGGTCATCAGGTAGTATTGCCAGTGTCCCGAGCCGACCTCCTGTTACTCAGCGTCAGTCGGGTGGACCACGGATACGAAGTGATTCTCTGGGTCAGAGTAATCTAAGTATTGTGAACGAAGAGATGCATGGATTCTATGGGCCAAGCGAGCACCTCGTTGGCCAAACGGACAGTCATCGACCAGGAACTCGAGGCTCGGGTAACCGGCAACCAAATGCACCTGTGGACCATCCACGGCCAGTGGCTGAGGAGCCATAATCTCAGTTAGTGTGTTGATTTCCTTTCATATATATGGACGTTCAACCTGGGTTTGGTTTGGCTAGGTGGATGGAGTTGGGATATTGGAAATTTGGCATAGCGTAGCATGGCGTTCTCTGATGAGTTCTAAACCTTTGGGCTGGGTAAGGGCGACCAAAAAGGTCTATCTAAAGAATAAACGAGCGTACGGAGTACTTAGGGCTATTTGTGTCTATGTTATTGGTGCAATCGATGGCTTTCCAGCGAACTTTGCGAAGCTTGTGAAAATGAACATTTTACTTTCCCACAACCACTTTCAATATTTCACCCTGTGATAAACCTTCGAGCTTTGCTTTTTCTTTGGAGCTTCTAAAATGCAGCTAGAGCAGTTCCTTTATGCTTAATTTATAGACCCAGAGCACCGGGTCGCTAGAGTGCAGCTACAGGGATAGGGATTTATGTCAGTAACAGCACAGCTGCTTGAGTGGCGGCTGGAATTTAAATTACATGCAGGAAATTGTACATAGATCCCTCGGTCAGTGGCTTGAGTTGAAACTGTTCTTGTTTGAGATGCAGGGATTGTTGTAAGAATTATCTGTTGGATATTGTTTGCTCAAGACACGAACAACACCTGTGAACTCGTAAGCGTATGTAGTACTTTCGATGGAGTGGACTCAATCTGTAAAATTTATCACTGAAATATGATAGATAACATTTCAATGAGACGCTATTTTGCACTTGGCTTGTGGTTGTTAATTGGCTCTTCCTCATAAGAGATCGGTGGGATGTTGGGCCGCTTACAACTTGCATTCTATGTTTCGCTACTTTTTCAGCCGCATATCCCAACTTCAACCTCTAAATTAATCGCGGCATTTGTTACCAAGGTTCAAAATCAAAGATGGTCTACAGCGTCGCCCACCATTTGTATACTTGGTTTCGGCCCAGTCTGGTGGCTATCTTTTATCGCAATATACCGTGGGCCTTGCGCTGGCGGCTCTTAGTATTTCAACCAGCTTCTCTGCTGACATACTCCATCGCTACGATACCCTGTCTTTTGTATCGATCATATACTGTTGAATATCTCCCGATTGCGCCGGATCGTCATGTCCGAGCTTTGATCTTCAAAGCGGCTGGTGTTGGGAAAGGGAGAGCTCTCAGACCACTGCATGTGAATTTCCACTCTGGTGCATTCATCGGTGGCTTGCCAGAGGGTCATGCGTATTTCGACCAACTTGTATCAGAAGAAACAGGGGCTGTTGTTCTTGATGTTGACTATCGTGTTGCGCCAGAACATGTTTTCCCAGCAGCTATCGACGACGCTGATGCTATAATCAAGTGGCTACAAGAAAACGCCGAGGAGCGTTGGGGCGCAGATCCAACTTTAATGACCACGAGTGGTTTTTCAGCAGGAGGAAACTTGGCCTTCGCGGTCACTCAGCAGGAAGCCTGTCAGGCACCATCTCCTACTGCTATCAAGGCCATCACAACTTTCTACGCTGCCATTGACTTACGTCTGAGCCCCTGGGAGAAACCTCATCCGGATAACATGCCCAAAAACGACCCTGCGAAACTCTTTTTGCCCCTTTTCGACGCATATGCAGCACCTGCGAGAGCAAAACACTTCGAAGACCCAAGGCTTAGTCCTGTGCTTTCAGAAAAGGAATCGTTGCCAGACCGAATTCTTCTTGTCGTTCCTGGTATTGATATACTCGTCGCAGAACAGACTGAGTTTGCAGAGCGAATCAATAAAGAAGATGGTGAAATAGAAACTCAAAGAGTGGAGGTTTTACATGAGGAAGATTTATTCCATGGTTACTTGGAAGGTGAGTCACCAAAGTCTCTTGCGAATTTAAATATTAAACTTTCTAGTTCCTGATATCGTGGTTAAGCGGAATGTCAAGCATCGTGCCTACGACAAAGCTATTCAAGTTCTCCGAGAGACTCATGAGAAGTATAATTGGACCTGGAACGTCTAGAATTCTTCAAATAAGCATTTCAGGAACGTGCCTGAATGATTTGACATGGTTTACTCAACTTTGGCGCCTCCTGTATGGCTGATGTATATGAAACTTCATTACACACCCAACCTTAACTCTCTCCTCGCTGAATCACAAAGCAAATCTTGCTACATACTTTCTTTTCAGTGCTATAAGCGCACAACATGTAATGAGTTCAATAAATAGGAGTTCATGGCACTGCCATTTTCTTTCCTTATTCTTCACTTCTACTTACACGTGCCCACTGAAGAACACACAAGCAAAGCTTTCGATTTCAACCTCAAGCCTTGTTCTCATTTACCAAGATGGCTCAAAATCAGAATTTGTTACACCGTTGGATATGCGGCAGTGGGTCTCAGGTCTCAAAAACAAAGAACAACTCGGATTCCTTGTTACTCAATTTACCCGTCGATATTCTGCTCATCATCAACTCATTCCTCCCAGCGAGCAGTCAGCTGTGTCTCCTAACAACCTGCCACGGGATAAAAAGATTACTAGAGCATACCACAGTCCCATTCTCTCAGCTGACACTAAAGCAAAAGCGGGCGTACAAGACTTTTGTCGTCCGACAATTTCCTAATGCCTGGCTTTCTGGTCGAAGACTGACTTTTCGAGAGTTTCAAGCGAAAGACCTCTGTCCACAACCAAAAGGTCCCCCGTATGAAAATCAACCAGGATGGGATAGAGTCACGCTGAGGTGTTTCGAGCGAGGAGCCTTATTAATAAGGCATAGGCATATTCAGATGAGCCTCAAATATGACCGCTTGGAGAAGAAGACCCGCCAGCAGAAGTCATTTCTCAAGACTCTCCTGAAGCCATATCACACTGATTTCTCAGCAGGCTTGGAAATGCACCCTTTGGACAAATTTGGAGCAGTAGGCCATTTTGAGTCTCATCCCAAACTCGTCTCTGGTCGGTATCTTCTCTTCAACCAATGGACCTACACCAACCCCTGGAAAGACGGAACGATAGTACTCAAAGAACTCGGTCGCTTTGGAGCTTGCAAACATCAGCGCATGACCGAAACAGGATGGGGAGAGTTCGTCATGCGCCAGAGATGGAGGCAGAATTTCAGGGTTTGAACTTTACGGGACACTGCAAAAGAGTGGTTTGGTATAGCTGATGGATTCAGTGAGCCGTTCTTCCTGTGCGTCGATGAGGCATTCAACAACCCTGGGTGTCAGGTAGATGGCATGTGTCCGTACTGCCTTACGGAGTTTTCGATTTGTGCAACAACGAAGATGATGCAAATGCGTGTGTGGCGGGACCTTGGGATTGAGGATGCGCGTTGGACTCCGGTTTGGCGAACACAGTTAGGGGGTATTGATCTTGACGGTCTGCCCAGGGGTGATGATTGTCTTGAGATTCGTTCTCGATATGGTGATACAGGTGTAGAGGGACATTAGTTGATGAACAAGTATTACTTATTGTTTCTGGGGGGTTATCAAGGAGAGACCTGCTGACTGGTGTTTTTCATGGACATGTACTGGTTGCTTTACATCAATGCTGTGTCGACTTGGTATCACATTCCTCGGTACAGTTTCCGAACAGCGAGTCTTTAGCGATTATTCAAATTTATACATTTAGAGGAACACAAGAACCTGCTGTGTTTATTCTGGTGATCGAGGAATGCGGCAATCTATGTAAGTGAAACACACCTAGACCCGACGGGCCGTTCCTGGGAGTGAAGGTTACCCTAAACTTGGTGTTGGAGGTGACACTTGCTTAAAAGGGCTCGGGTCACGAGAGGGAGAGAGGGGATGAGTAAAATGCAAGTTCATCACCTAGCTATGGCCTGACGTGATAAATGTTGCAGATAAATCCCAACAGCAAGGGTTTGTTCGTTGCTGGGCATCTCAGTAGTCGATCAGAATGGATACCAGTGTGGTCCAATGGAATGACATCATCTCTGTTTGCCCACTAACTAACAAGGGAGAGCTAAGAGTTATGGATTGCTCCCGCAAGGGATAAAATACCAGCAAAATGGAACTACAATTCAATTATCAAAGACAAAGGAAACTGGAGAAATTAAACACCTTCACCATTAAACCATTTCAATCATGAAAATCAGCCACTTTCCGTTTGCGAATTTGACCGTTGTCTCGACATCAAGCTCAGGGATCAGCGTCCACAGCCGCTGTCGACCCAGCAACAAATGTAAACAATGACCGGGGCCAGTCCCAACGTCCTCGACCAACCATCCGCTGCCACACAAGCCCAGCGTCTGGGGATACCTCCCAGACTAATATCTGCGCGATTCCAGGAAGACCCCTTGACCTCTCTTTTCTTCCTCTCCTCGCTTCAATATCCCCTTTTCTTTTTTACCGTGTGTGTGTCACTGCAAAATACTCGAGGCACACATACGAAAGGCACAAGCCACTGACCGCTTTCACCCTCAGATGCCCCGACATAACAGGGCTGAGGACCTCGATTTCGAGATTCACGTTGATCCATCTTGCTTGAGCGATCCTATGGACGATAACGATACAAGGGCCCCCGAGGAGCCAAAGGTGGAAGTGGAAAAAGACCACGATACAAAGAACGATTCCATTAAGGAGCTTGATAACGATATTGATACGACAAACCACACCGATTTACCAACTGAAGCAAAGGCCGAGCCTACGGTCGAAGCTAAAGAAGAACAGAAAGAAGAAGACCAATCTACTATAACGCCAGAGGAGACCAAGGAGGAGGCACAATCTGATCAAGAGGCATCCGACTCAGAGGCCGACTCAGAAGTCGAATCAGAGCCTGAAGCTGAACCAAAAGAGGAACCCAAAGCTCAAATCGACACTGAAGAAAGGCCAGAAGAGCCAATTGAGGCATCAGCAGTAGAATCAGAAGAAGTCGAAGCAGCACCAGCTACATCTGAAACTGAAGCCGACACAACAGCTACAGAGCCCTCATTAGACGATATAAAAGATAACGACGAGGAACCTACCCCTGTCGAAGACGTCACTACCACTGAGGACACGCCTGCGGATACTCCAATTGAGGACACCCCTTCCGCAGATATCCCCACAGACAACATTCCTACCGAAGACTCCACCGCTCAGGGCCCCAAAGAAGACGAACCCATAGAAGACGGCAAGCCTAAATCTGCTGAAGCTGAGGTCGAAGCCTCTACTGAGGGCAACGAAGAGAGGCACTTTTCCGAGACCGAGTCAGACCGTTCAGGCTCTCGACGTGAGTCTTCTGGTTCTTCGGGATCTGAATACTCAAGCCGTCGACACTCTGGTCGCTCCGAAGCTATCAACGGAGTTGCCCGTGACATTGCTTCACAAATCGATAACCACGAGAAGCGCGAGTCTTTGAACAGCTACTCCGGAACAGACGATACTGGTTATATCTCTCATTCTGAGTCGGTTAGTACTCGCACAGGCCCAAAAATGTCGACCGCTGGTATGAGAGGCGGTGTAGATGAGGCCGCTGAGAACAGCTCCCACCATGAGCACGAAGACGATGTTTTCAGTGACCGCAGTCCTCGCAGCTCAATGGGATCTGTTTCAGAAACTGATAACAGAAAAGCCCAGGATGCTTTGTCGCGGATGACCAGGTCGCCTCGTGTCTCAGGTGTATCTGGTATTTCCGGTTTCTCAGAGTATGACAGGGAAGAGGAAGACTTTATCCCTACTATCAGAGGCAACCCTCGTCCTGTCTTCCGATCACCTTCTTCTGTCAAGGCCATGCAGATGTCATCGCCCCCAGGTTCGACAATTGGGTCTCCTCGATCAAGCCGCAGAGCACCTCTCTCTGCATCTCGACTTGGCTCTCCTCGCTTTTCAGAGCAGTACTCTCCTAAGAAGACACCGCCTCGTTTTAAGCGATCGACACCTCCCCTTGTCCTTCTTCACGTTACATTGCTTCCGCTTCGGTGGCCATGGGGTGATGTGCTCGAGAATGCAGATGCCGATGATCTGAGCAAGGAGTGTAAGGCTATACGAGATGCTTGGCGACTATTGCAAGACCGCATGGCAGATACCACTGTCGAGCGCGGTATCCTCCTACCTCACCCCCAGAGCGACTACGAGGTTCTCGAGGAGAGGCTGCTAGAGGCTCTTGACCTTCCCATGAGGCGTCGTGCTCGTATCCTGGAGTGTGGCCATTATCTTGGCCCTTCTAACGAGATGACAATAGAGGACTCAGAGGAGGAGAGTGAGGAGGATGAATATCAACAACAAGAGGATGAGGAGCGCCGATCAAGTCGTCGCTCTCAGGCACCACCTACACACTGGTGCAAGACATGCAAGTCGGACATTAATTATGAGTCGCTCGGTCGTGCAAAGGTCTTCCGTGTCAAGGTGTATGCCAGCAACGGTCTGATCCGTGGTGGTGCCTGGGAAGCTTGTTGGAAGGAGATGGAGCGAGTTGATGTTGAGATAGAGCCTCTTGTCGACGCTGTATCGCAACATGAGCTTGTGTCTCTAGAAGCTGACCAGGAGAGGGAGTTGGCGATGAGGGAAGCTGAAGAGGAGGAAAGGTATATTAGGTTAGATGAGGAGCACCGAGAGTTTGAGGAGAGGGAGCGAGGACGTCTGTCTAGAAGACGGGGAGAGTCTCGTAACCATGTTGAGGATATGAGCCATATGAGTGAAGGAAAGTCACGTATGGAGGAGCACAATACTTCTCGTCATGATGTATCGCATCACGAGGACTCGCGTTACGACAAGTCGCTGCATGCGGAATCCGTCCGTGATAAGTCGGTATACGATGAGTCACTTCACGAACCCTCTCATTACGAACCCTCTCATCATGAAGAGTCTCATCATGATGTCTCAGAGGCTCGCGAAGCATCTGTCCACGATACTACCAAGGATCACGACCAAAGCCACATTGCGGACGATACTCAGCCTGCGGAGGAGCACTCTGCCGACGTCACCAAGGAGTCCATTAAGGAGCCCGCCGATGATGTCGAGGAGTCTTTTGTTGAGGATCATGATGCTGAAAAGAGCCGATCCTTTGAGGAGCTTGAGAAGGATATCGATGATCATCTTCAGGAAGAGCGCGAGAGGAGTCTGGCAGAGGAAGCACGAAGCGCTGACCCTGAACCTGAAGCCTCTCACCTTGAAGATACCAACCTGGAGGCTGAAGAGTCATCTATCGCTCCCGAAGGCCCCGCCGACTCGAAGGATGACGAGGCGGAGCGTCTGAGGAGAGACGAGGAGAGGCTCAGAGAGATCTATGGCGACACTCCTGCTTCCAAGGAACATCATCAAGAATCCCAACGATCCTTCCACGAGCAACAGCCACAGCACCACGATCAGCACTATGCTGAGCGCAGTCGCTCTTCTGCCGGCAGCCATGCCCCCGATTATGGACATGCCGCCCCTCGAGTACCCACCGCTGAGGAACGTCGCCAGGCAATGAAGAGCGCTACTCTACCAGAGCTACTGGCCGAGTCAGCTCGTGTAGCCATGCAAGATAAGAAGAACATCTTGATTGGCTTGCTGAGTGTTCTCATCCTTCTCTTGGCTGTCCGTGGAAACTCTGGGCCCCAACAGGATCCTAGGACTTTCCAAACTGTTGTTATGAATCCGGAAGTACCTACTGTGACAGTAACACATGCCATCAGTATACAGGCGACCGAGGCCGCTCCTCAGATTGCTGCTTCTGCGGATCCTGTCTTTGAGGAGGATCGCACTGTTGAAGCTCATTATCCTGAGGAGAGCATTGTTGTCGAGGACACTACTGCTGAGAACCATATCGTTCAAGATGAGCAGGTCATCAATAACCAGATTGCCATCGGCAACTCTTATCCTAACCCTGATGGCTCTTCGACTGGATCCGTCGACCCGTGTGCCTCTTGCTCAGCTCCTTCTCAAGGATATCACGGAGTTGAGGGGCCCCGAGAACTGGACGCTGGACCAGCCGCTGAGTCACCCGAGACCGAGAAGCAACCTACCTGCGAGGAGCGCATTGTTCGTATCGTCGAGACAGTGACTGCTGTTGAGACGGCTACAGTCAAGATTACTGAGTATGCGACCGACGTTCCATCTCAAGAGACACAGGCTGTGCAGGCTGTTGAGGAAGAGCAGGTTGAGGAGAGTGTTGCCCCTGAGGCAGAGGATACCATTGTGGCCGCGGACGCCCAAGTCGACGGCGAGGCGTCTGTGGATGATGAGACACTGCCCACAGAGGAGACCGTCCTTCCATCTGAAGAGGCCGAGTCCGTGAAGGAAGGGGAGGACCCTGCTCAGGAGACTGTGTCGCCTGATGAAGAGGCCCTTGATGAAGTTGAGCAGGAGGCTGAAGATTCGGAACCCAGTATCGAGGTCGAGGCCACTTCCGAGTCCGCCGCCCCGGAGGCTTTGGGCTCTGACGAGGAAGCCCCCGAACAGGCCGCGGAGCACTCGGAGGAGGCTGATGAGCTTTAGGGATTTGCAAGCGACGCCATGCTTTATATGCCTTGATGTAAGTTGCTACGAAGGATATACCTAGGACGCATTCGTTTTTTGATGAAAGAAAATGAGGGATACACATATGGTTTTTTGGTGCGATGATAGTTTGAATGATGCATGAAGGGTACATAATTAGGAACCTGTTATGGGGACTATCTTAGTCAATGTGATGAGAATAGACATGTTATGCTTATAAGACTCTTTGTCTGCTGTGATTTGTTTATGAAGTCATTGCGATCTAGCGCTGAATTATGTTATGCTTGCATAGGGTTTACCAAGTGCTTGAATATTTGGCATGACCCCGAATAAACATCTCATTAGGCCACGTATAATCAACTCCCCCTCCAGGTCTCGCAAGGCTATTCATAGCCTAATATAGATATCCATACAATCAATCCTCCACTCCCTCTTCCCTAGCAAATTTCTAAGCCACTCGATCCCCAGCCCCGACCACTCGGCCCTCCTGGCAGCTAGATCATCACTAGCAGATTTTATAATCGCCGCGACCGTAGTGTTTGCCATATCGAGGACAGTCGTGTTGAACGTGACATCCTCAGGCGGTGCTGTTGGACGCGGGAGGAACCAGTTACTGCCAAAATCGAAGAAACATCGGTCCGACCAGTTGCAAGAGGTCAGGAAGAGAATAAGGAGAAGGATGGAGCAGTACACGCATGGTCGATTGAGGAAGTACGTGCAGATAAAGAAGAGGAATATGAAAGCGGGCGAGGCGTTGGTTGGGATGAATAGGAGTGGAAGCCAACTGGACAGGAGTTAGTTTTTTGGTGAAAGAGTGATTGTGAAGGGTTGAGTATTACCTGCGAAGGCAAAACATGCTGGGCGATATTATGCGATGAATAGAGGTAGCATGTGGCGTAATTGCCTAGGAGACAAAATGTTTAATCGTGTTTATTGTTGCGACTGCGTGCGGGCGCATGAGTGTTGTTGAAGGCTGGACTGGACTCGGGGAGAGGATTTGGTGGCGGTTTAAAGGTGTTACGTCGTTTTGGAGGGTGATGAATGGGGGTGATGCTGTATTGGGTTTAGTGTGTGTTGAGGCTCTGGGTTAGGTATTGATATCATGGGATTGGCTAGACTAGACTCAAGACTAAGGAATTTGATGTTATATTGGTGTTTGCTCTTGTATGTTATTTTGGGATATAAAACTGTGGATGATAGAGTTGTATTTGGTAGCTTCCTTCCCCTTATTTAGATTGAGTTGTTTGTGGCTGAGCGGCTATTCACATCCCCTCCGAGGGCGTATAAGGGCATTCAATACTGAAGATAGCATTTAATACTCACTGCACTGTAGTTTTTTATTTGACATTCAAACCTCAACATAAAATAAGACGTAGAAAACGTATCATATTGGTGATATTTGCGCATGTTGCTCAATGTAATTATCGCGATCCGGGATATGCCACTCGTTGGAAGTCTTGATTAAGTTTCTGAAATACAAAACCTAAGCGCCAAGTGGGAATAACCGCAATTTGTCCCTGAATAACCATCAAACTGGGGGATTGTTTACGCTTCTGGAACCGTCAGACTCATGATTATGTAATGACAAGTCGAGGCATTGAAGATCGCAAGGATGTCGTCTCGGAAAAGAAAAGAAAGACTGGTCTCAGAAATTCTTCAACAATGTTGGGACTCGGACAGCAGCAGCAGCAGCAAATTGGTCTGCAGCTGCATATGCAAAAGCCAGGATCTCAGTTCTTTCAGGCTCGAACCGAATCTCGGGCTGCTTTTCTTTGATTATGAGTCACCAATAATGTATATGTCTCTGAGATCTGGATTCATTGCCTTGTCCAATAAAACTTGAAGAGGCGGTGACTTCGACAGCTGGCAGTCTGGGCGCTACCTTGCCGAACCGGTTCACTCATATCCATGTATGTATCACAGCTGAGAGCTTTACAATGCATCAGCCACTTTTGAGATTCGATGTTGTTAATTGAAGTATGTTTAACGCTCGATAAAAAGAACAAACTTTAGGATTTTTGCTTTTTTATGTACGCAGATGATACATTTCAACGGCATCATTTGATATCATCCTCACAGTTTGAGGTACCAGCAAATACAACACAGAGGACAAACCAACCAGCCCCAGTCAACCACGTCACTCCTTCACTCCCTCCAGGTACCTTAGCTCTGTGCGTTACCTTGCTATCGGGGAATAGTGAGGTGGAAACATCCATCCATTCCCTCCCGTCACCTCAGCATTAGGTACCTTGCCTGGCTTGCCTCACATTGGATTGCACCGCTTGTAGCATCGGGCAACGTGGGCTTCTGCACTGGCAACAGACAACAAGCAGCTTGGGCTCCAGCAGCTATCACCTGGTTGGTGCAGCAGTGGTTTCCTATCAATTTCATCATCAATCGATCAAACATATTGCGCAAAGCTGTTTCCTGAGGCCGCCCCAAACACTAGCAAAGGTGCACAGATAATTGCTTGGGAGATCACCTTGGTTGCTTTCCCACCCAAACCTCACCTCCCACTGGCTTTTTAGCTCCTCAGCTAACTGAGGTACCGTACCACTGCGGTACTGCCGTTACCGCTACTGCTACTGCCACCGCTACCAGCCACTGATTTGCTCTGCTCTGCTCTGCTCTACTTTTGCATTGCCTTGCCTTACTTCACCGTCATCATCATCGGTTTTCGCGACTTTTGTTTTTTCTCCCCCCCCACGTCAACCACCTTTTTACCTTTACCTTCAACTTCATCTCATCATTGAAAAAGATTAAAAGATAGAATCGCATCTACTCATTTCCATTCTATCATCTTGGTCGCTTTTTCTTCTTTTTCTCTCCCTCATCATCCCCTTTCATCCTTCCTCTTGGCGTCCTCTCGGAATCTGTTCGGCCCGTTTGCTTTGCTTTCGTCCCGCTCTCCGCTTCCATTTGGTCGCCTTTTCTTGTCGTCTCTGAATCATCCACATTCAGAAAAAAACCCAACATTAATAACGCGGTAGCTCTTTTCGAGTCCGCATCCGCAACCGCTACCCTAGGCTTGTCGCCATGGACAATCTCGACATGCCTCCGGCGCCTACGCCGCCTGTCAATAATATGAGCATGCCTTCCAATAACTCGGATCGCACCGCTAATCTGCTGAACTTGCTCAAGTTCAGTGGTTCAGGTGGCTCGCAGTTGCAGAGTCAAGCTGCTCAGAATCGGGCCCATGCTCATATCCAGCAGCAGACTCAGCAGCCTCAAGAGCAGCAGCAGGAACCTGGTTCTCCTCAGCAGCCGCACCAGCAGCTGTCGGACCATCAGCTCCATCAATTCAACCAATTCCAGCAGCATGCTCAGCAAGGCCGAGGTATCATTCAGAGCCCTCTTCCTGCTCAGATTCACCAGCCTTCCCCTTCTTCTGCTGACCCGACTGGTCTCCTGGCCGCCCTTATGCGCGGCGCCCACGAGCCAGAAGAGCCAAAGCAGCCCCAGCAGTCGCACCCTCAGCAAGCCTTTGGCAACGGTTCTCCCCCGGCCGATACGCGCTCGTATCTGCTCAACCTGTTGAACCGCCCCAAGCCTAGCCAGGGCGACCAGCAGCAGTCGGCTCTGACTGAGACCACGCGTTCCAACAACCTTACGCCTCAGTCTCCCGACCTTGCTCCTGCCGAACCTGCTCGCTACTCTGGTAGCTATCAGCAGCAATACCCTCAGCAGCATGGCAACCAGTTCTCGAATCAACAGCACCGCCCGGTCGATTCCTACGCAGGATCGCACGCGCCCTCGAATGCATCCGACTCCTTCCACCATGTCTCGCAGGACCATCAGACTGATACCTCGGCTCTTTTCCAGCAACTATTGGGAAACCTTGCTCAGTCGTCTCCTCATAGTCAGGGCCAGAGCCACACTGCTCAGTCGCCAACAGCTCTTCCTTTCCAGATTCTAAAGAAGGACTCGCCAGCTGCTTCCCAGCATTCTCACCACTCCCATCACTCCCACCGCCATGACCACTCGGTCGGCGCCGGCAGTGACCGAGCTGCTTTCCCCACCTCTCCCCACCAGATCCGTCGCAAGGCAACCCGAACCGCGTCTCTGCAGTCTCACCCTTCGGTGAAGCAGGGTACTCCTCCGACCTCCGAATTTGACAACTACAATTCGACCGCCAAGGAGACCGTCGCAGAGGCCATCGAGGACATTGCCGAGCAGGCTGATCATGACGCCCGGGAGGCACTTGAGCGCGCGGAGCACGAACGGGCCCAGGCTGAAATCGCCGAGGACCTTGACGATATGCTCAACGCCAAGTCTGAGAAGGAATTCGAGGACAGTGCTCACATTGCCGCCCAGGCTATCCAAGCTGAGCTTGACCGTAGTGAGAATGAGGGACTTCTCGAGGACGCCCTTCCACACGACGTCGCCGAGACTGTTCGCGAGATTGTTGACGAGGCTGCTCAAGGTGTTGCTGAGAGCTGGGAGAGCGCCGACCAGGATGAGATCGTCGTTATCGAAGAGAAGGAGGCCCCGCCTGTCAAGGTGTTTAACTTCCCCATGAAGCCGTGGATCTCCATTACTCTTCAGGAAGAGGGTACCGAGCCACGACCCTTGTTCCGCGACGAGACCATTATGGATATCGCTCGGCTCAAGAAGGAGTTTGATCAGATTGATCGCAACCTGTACACTGCTACTGAAAACTACATGGCCTACGGCATGTCCAAGCAGGGTGGTCTGCGTGTTATTCGACAGGAGGATGGCAAGGATGCCAAGATTTTCACCGACACCAAGGACCGTATCTTCAATGTCGCCATGTCTGTTACACCTAGTGATCACGACGGCGTTCACCGCGAGGCCATCATCGGCACTGGCATTAGCGGCACCGTCTACTGGGTTCAGATTCGTGATGGTGACAAAGACCACATTGAAGATGCTCATATGGAGCAATATGGCTTTGCCCTACCTCCCATGAGCTCCCAGGAGGGTGATGCCCCTGGTGGTGTTCTCAAGACCCGTGCCCGCACCTCGACAATTCATCCCGAGTACTTTGCCGTCGGCCGCGGCAAGTCCATCAACCTCATCTGGCCTTCATACATCCTTCAGAATAACCTGTTCAAGCCTGGCCACGACCGCGTTGTCGACACCGAAACCCTTGCCAAGCAGTGCTCCCTGAAGATCAACACTGGTAAGGCCGGCAAGGACTTCACCTTTAGTCAGGATGACTCTGTTATCGTCTCTCTTGATAAGTCTGGTCGGGTCAAGTTCTGGGATGTTCGAGACCTGACTGCTGTCAAGGAGGGCTCCGACCCGCGTGCTCCCATGCCCGCTGAGACCAACCTCGAGGTCAAGGAGCCTCTAATGACACTTGCCACCACACCTGAGGGTGAGAAGGCCTGGCCCACTTCGGTTCTTCTTCTCGACAAGCAGCGACCTTACCAGAAGCGATGCGCCCTCCGATACATGATTGTTGGAATGAAGCAGAACCACACTCTGCAGCTGTGGGATCTTGCTCTCGGTAAGCCCGTGCAGGAGTTCAACCTTCCCCACAGCAAGGAGTCGGATGCTGTCTGTAGTGTCATGTACCACTCAGCCACTGGCATGATTGTCATTGGCCACCCCACGCGCAACTCGATCTACTTTGCGCACTTGTCCGCACCTAAGTACAACCTCAAGAGTGTATCTCAGGCCGAGTATATCCAGCGACTCATCGCTCAGGATCCTTCCATCCCTCAGCCGGATAGTACCGCTGTCATTAGTGGTGTCCGTGAGTACTCGTTCGCTAACCGGGGAATTCTGCGAAGTCTTGACATTCTTGGTACCCCTGCCATGGTTCAAGATGCCGACGAACCCACTCTCTTTGAGCTGTACGCCATGCATTCAAAGGGTGTTGCTTGCCTT